GATCTATAATTTAAAATATTTGTATAATAAAATATTTCGCGTGTATATACGTCATAATACACAAAATAATTTTGGCTGCGAATTATCAATAACGTATGGTATGCGGTCTTGGCAGCGTAAACAATAGCGCCCTATTGTTTACGACTTACGGTTTTATCATTCGCACGGCGACACTCGAACAGTAATGTAATAGTGCGAGACGCACCGTCAAATTCCTTTTCTAAATGTGATCGCGACAAGTATCGGGAAATAATTTGATATAATTAATTATTAATTCTCTCTCTTTCTTTTACTTTTTAGGCAACAATTATTTTAAAATATTTAAAATTAAATATATTTTGTCTGATGTTTTTTCGTTCGACTTTTCGATGATCTAAATAAGATTCGGATTGAGAACACGCAATAAAATAGTTTAATCGCAGATCCGAGTAATTAACATAACGATAGGCTCCGTGATATATTAATCGTTTATTAAATAATAGATCTATAATTTAAAATATTTGTATAATTTAATATTCTGCTTATATATATGTCACAGTACGGAAAATATTTCGGCAGCAAATTATCAATAATATAGTATTCGGCTTTGGCGGCGTGAACATTAGCACGCTATTGTTACGACTTACGGCCTTATCATTCACACGGTGACACTCGAACAGAAATGTAATAGTGAGAGACGCTCCGTCAAATTCCTTTTCTAAACGCGATCGCGACAAGTATCGGGGAATAATTTCATATAATTAATAATTAATTCTCTCTCTTTCTTTTACTTTCTAGGCAACAATTCTTTTAAAATATTTAAAATTAAATATATTTTGTCGGATGTTTTTTCGTTTGACTTTTCGATGATCTAAATAATATTCGGATAGAGAACACGCAATAAAATAGTCTAATCGCAGATCCGAGTAATTAACATAACGATAGGCTCCGTGATATATTAATCGTTCATTAAATAATAGATCTATAATTTAAAATATTTGTATAATATAATATTTCGCTTGTATATATACGTCATAGTACGGAAAATATTTCAGCAGCAAATTGTCAATAACATAATATTCGGCCTTGGCGGCGTAAACATTAGCGCGCTATTGTTAACGTGTTATGCCGGCCTTATCATTCACACGGCGATACTCGAACAGTAATGTAGTAGTGCGAGACGCTCCGTCAAATTCCATTTCTAAACGCGATCGCGACAAGTATCGGGAATTAATTTCATATAATTAATAATTAATTCTCTCTCTT